ACTCGTGGGTTGAGATAAGAACAGTTGAATAATTGAAATAATAATAATAATAATAATAATAATATTATGATAAAATTAAAATAATAAAAAAAATTGTAACGAAAAGGAAAATAACAAAGAGAGAGAAATAAAACCCAAGAAAGACAAGGGATGCTCACCACCAACCAACCGATGCCCAGCCAGTCCCCGAGCAGCTGGCCCCCGGCCAACATCCCCTCCCAGATTTCTTGCTGAGCCTGACGTCGTATGGTGTGGGGTATCCCCTGGGGTCAGCTGTCCTGGCTGTGTCCACCCCCCCAACTCCTTGTGTCCCCCCAGCCTGCCCGCTGCTGGGGTGAGCAGAAAAGGCCTTGACTCTGTGTGAGCACTGCTCAGCAGTAGCAAACACATCCCTGTATTGTCAACGCTGTTTCCAGCACAAATCCAAAATACGGCCCCATACTAGCTACTATGAAGAAAATTAACTCTACCGCAGCCAAAACCAGCACAATTAGAAATGCCGTTAAGGATACTTCATAATTCATGTCAATGTTTATAAACAAGATGGATTTTGCTAATAGACAAGATATAGTAGAAACAACTCAGGGCATGCGAGTCAATAACTGCAAGATTTAGTACCAAATGGAATGGGAAGCCAGTATGGAAGTGCCGCCCTGGGAATGGGATTTAGCCAAATTAGCCCACGGGCTCCTCAGATAAACCAGAGGCAGCAAAGAGGTAATTGCTCACCCCTCCACTCCCATCTCCTGCTGATGCCCCACCGATCCCACAGGAGTATTAGATGGTGCCTCCCCTGAGTTGCTTTTAAATCACTCAAAACCTGAGGCTCCCTCTTAGGAAATCAACCCCCGCAGCCAGCCCTTCCAAACCTTCCTCTTCTGCTGATAAAATTCATGCTCCTCTTCCCAGTTATGCCCTCCGAGCTTTCCTCTGCACACACCTCGAATGTTTTTCTTTTCTCTTTAGGATTAAAGTTCTCCAGACACTTGTTCTTTCCCCGCAAGACACAAGTTTGATCTTTTCAACTTCAAAGAACATTACAGCCTCAACTAATTAATCCTCACAACCTCGTGGTGAGGAAGGTGTTATTAGCTATGCTTTACAGAGGAAACAAATAGCCAAAGGTAGAAAGAAAACATTGTGGAAGGGGATTAGAGCCTGGGAAATCCATACTTGCTCCTCCAATCAAACCACATGATCCTCACAGCTACGGATTCAGCATTTTCAATCTCTCCTCCTAAACCAGCCCTTCTAGACCTGTAATCACTTAGTTTGAGACTTGCTAAAGGCCTTCGACTATTGACTAAGCAGTGTGGAAGGAGAAGTGAACAATTTGATTTTTGATTCCCACATCTGTCTGGAATTTGTGTTCCCAAGTCTTGCTGCAGTTTGCTGGATCTTAGAAAATCAGAAGTGATAGTTTGCACACCTAGAGGATGAACGTTTTTCTTGTGTTATTTTTTTCCTTTAACAAAAACTTGAGTTTTCTGACCAGATCTTTAAAAACAAGTCCTTCTTTTCACTTTTATTCCCATCCCCTTGTTCTGCTTCCCTCTCACCCCGCCGCATCCCCAGGACACAAGGACGGGGTGCTGCCGCGCCGACCAGCAGCAGATGACATGCTGATGCTGGCTGCTCTTGCCATGCCTCTGGCTGATGCTGCATCTGCTTCTTGTTCGCGGAAGTTAGTTATGAAATCAAAGGACTGCTGAATCCAGAGACAGACTTACCCTCTCGCCATCCTCTCCAGGTGCCCCTGGGGGTCCGTGGGGGCCTGGCTCACCCTATAAGGAAACAACAGAAAAGCTTCAGAGAAGGTGGAGACACTGGCAGTAGAAAACATTGGGTGACGTTGAGAAACCAAGCAACAGGGCTGACTTTTCTGTCTGCTCCATGTGCTGAAGGCAGTCATACCCTCACGGTTCCCGTCTCCCTGTGCTCTCTGAAGCAGCAGCCCTTCTCTACCTGCTCAGGGCCACACATCGGCTCCACCACGGACAGACCCATGTCCTCCAGCAGACAGAGCTCACGGGATTTACTGGTGACACTTTGGCAGGGGTCTGGGAACCAAGCAGGAGCTGTAGCTCCTTCAGGAGAGGGACTCAGGCTCTGCATGCAGTTATTGCTTTACCCAAGGCACGCTATTCCATTTCTGGCTGATTAAGCATCTCTCTCAGGCACAGTCTTCCCTTTCCTGCGTAGCTTGTAATCACGATGCAATCTCCGCTGTTCAAACACTCCCTTGCTTCATAAAGCAATGGCTGCACTCTCTAGGGAGGGGAGGCACAAACAGCCTGCCAAAACAACCAGCTTCTTGCATTTTTTCCCCTCATTGTTTAATTATAAAGCAAAGAGAAGAATCCCATTGTAATTTTTGGCAATTTCCATCCACAACTGCACTGGCTAAAAGCAGGTTTTTGCTTCTTGCTTTATTTTTCAGTCTGCATTTTATTAAGGCAATTCTTTTTCCCCCCTTTCCAATTTCAAGCAATCCCAGAAGGACCTTGCAGCTTCCCGGGATGTGAATGCTGTGCCTGGGAGGGATGCTGCGACATCCCACACACTCTTACGGGCCACACTCATCCTCTCCTAATTGCACCATTGTGGCTCATCCCCAGCAATAGCTGCCCTCCTCCCAGCCACCTCCCCCTGCCAAGGTTTCATTATAGACCGTGGCCAGAAGACAAGTGGAAGATAACTTACTCTATTTCCCTTCTCACCAGGCAAACCAGCCAAGCCATCAAACCCTCGGTCACCCTAAAAGAAAAAACAGTTTAGTACGCATTTCCACCTGCTGTTGAATATCTTCCCAATTTGTTTCCTTTCTGTGTCAAGGACAGATCGATTTTCTCCCACAGACATTCAGCCTTCATCTCCCATCAGACCAATGATGATTTCAAAGTTATAGATTAAAAAAAGAAAAAAGTTCAAAGTCATTTTACCTCCTTCCCTCTCCCCCCAGCACCTACAGTTTTAAATGTTTTTCCACATGGATTTCAGAGCTTCTCAGGGTGAATTCTCCATGATCTAAAGAATCTCCCCTTCTGGACAGGTTCTTCTAGTCCATTTACTTTTTTAATTCTATGGAATTCCAAACGACAATCCAGTGGTGAGCAAACGGGACACTAGTATATGCCACACCTGCCAACAGGTACCCAAACACTACCCTGAGCTTTACTCCAATCCATCCCATACATCCTTTTAACCCTCCTGGACACTCCAAGGAAACAAATACATATAAAAATAAATTCTGGAGACGGTCTTAATGAAGTCCAGGTCGGAAGACAGATCTGTTTTGACCTAAAAAGGAACGTCATCAACTGGTAAATTTGGTAACTTCACATGGATGCTTAAGGATGTTTTGACCTAAAAAGGAACATCATCAGCTGGTGAATTTGATGACTTCACATGGATGCTTAAGGCTCTTGCGAAAGGGACATCTCCACGCTACCCTGCAAAGAGCAGCCTGCTCTGCCCGACCCCAGCCTGAGCAGGCACAAAGCCAGCTGCAAGACCGTGGATGTATAGGGGATATATGGCCCCAAACTACTGCCACTGGCAAGGCAAAACAAGGCAAGAATGGCTCCCACCATACCTCTTGTCTTACACATCTCCAGTAGCTCCTGCCACTGCTGTAAACGCAGCTCTGGGCCAAACAGCTTTGGCCATCCTTCTGGGGAGCATGACGCCAAGCCCAAAATAATGAGCTCTGCTAAAAGGCTGGGTGTGTTAATTTGTGCTTGGCACCATATTAAGAAAGTCATGCAACCTCACGCTGGCAGAGCACAAGCAGCGCTTGCCAGCATCTGCCTGCAAATGACCGTGCGAACGTCCCCTAAGCGCGCTCCTCACGTCCCCTGCCCAGGCCCGTGGATGCTCCCAAAGGAAATGGGCAACACTGAGAAATTCAAGTGTGAGGAAGAAAAAACAAAACCCCATTAGTCTGAGGGCAGGCGGGCAGCAGGAGCCTGCCCTCCTGGGGCTTTCGCCCGTGCCCGCGCAGCTCCTCCGGGTTGGTATGTGGAGAGCTCAAGGTGAACCATGGCAACCCGCAATAGGGTTTCTGTCCAAACTTGTGCCCTGTTCCAGTCTCCCATGTTCTGGGGGGAAACAGGGACACCAATGCATAGAGACAGCCTTTTCCCGAAAGCCTCAACTCTTTAAAAAAAGAGAGAAGACACAGAGGTGTTTACAAATCGCAGGCGACACCATCTCCTAACGCCCAGGGCAGAAGGCAGCGAGCACCATCCAGTAGACAGAAAAGTCCCTTTTTCTCTGTAGAGAGGTGAAGCCACTTGCATTTTCACATACTAATGGTATGTGAAAATAGTACCAGCTCCTCCCTTCCATAAATCCTTTACCTATTAGCAAGGGAAAGAAAATCGATCACACCTGAGCAGATCCGAGGACGGATCGGTCTGGCCAAGGCTGGCCGAGGTGCACCCAAGGTAACCAACAGCTCTTTGTTCTGGCAGGTCCTAGAGCATCGCGCTGTCTCTGCTCACAGCAAATTTCCTTCTCCTTCCCCAGTGCTGCTCGTTACTCTGTTTTCCCTTCTTCCCTGGCATCCACTCCTCTGAGGGCAGTCGACACTCATTAAAGCACTTTACTGGATAAATGATTTGCAGTCTCCTGTCTCGGTATCAAAACCCCCCATCTATTCCAGCTTTAAGTATCTACATAATAAAGTACTTACACCTTCTAATACATGATTCCCTGAGCAAACTTTCTCTGCATTCAATTTCAGTGGAACAGCTTCTTTCCTGCTTGATAATACCACCAGATCACAGCTGAATGAAGGGATTTTGTCTCAAATAAAAATACAGGGCATTAAAATTCCTCACCACGTCTTCTACATTTCCTCACCCAGTTAATAGGTAATTTTTTTGATAGTTATATTTTAGGATGTTTCCAACCGCTCATTCATGTTTGTTTTTCATAATTAGGATTCCAAAGTATTTGTTCTACAACTGCAGCCAAGGGAGCATATTTCATTCTTAAGAGGATCCAGCAATTTAAAAAAGTTGCATCAAAAAAAAAAAAGGAAGAGAAAAGAAAAGATAGATTGCTATTCTGCCTTCTAGGTGTGTGCTTCACTCCTGTCCCTCAAATGTGGAGCCCAGGACTTTACAGGAGTCGCTGGACCATTTCAACAACCTCCTCCAAGCATGGTGGGCTGCTTCTGCCAAGGGTCCCTCAGTTCATGCTTGCTAAAAAGCAGATGCAGATTCCAAAAGCACATAAGTACGTGGCACTACCTTTGGTCCTGTCTGGCCTGGCATTCCCCGGGCACCGTCGCTGCCAGCTCGTCCCTGCAACAGACAAAAGCAAAGTCAAATACAAAGGGTAAGGCAGGACCGCAGGGACATCTGCTCTTTGGTCTGTGGCCGAGTGAAGTTTTATTTAATTCGGAGCTCGCCGGCTGGGGAGCAGCTTCCCTTGGCGATGGAAAAAATGCCGGTCTGCTTTTGAAGCGGCATCCCGGGCTCAGCCTGGCACTAATGAGGGGTGCGAGACAAATGGCAGCAAAGCTGCTTCACTACATGGGATGCTGGGACATGGTCATTGATTTTAATTTGAAATAATTATCTTCCAGCACATTTTAAGATATGCTAATGACGATGTCCACAAATTGAAACGAGAGAATTTTTTTGTAAGCAAGCCAGAAGTAGGTCACACAAAAGACTTTCTTGTTTCTACTTCTGGCAAGCTGAATCACGACAAGCCAGAGGATGGAGTAAAATAAAAATGAGCACTAGGGATGTTGACAGAGCGAGTGAGTGTGATTTATACCAGCTCCAGAAACCCTCTGGGGCCTGGATCCTTTTTGCACACTACCGACGCTTGGGGACTGTCCAAACCAGCCCAGAGCATTTATGCAGCTACAACCTCAATGCCACAGAGGAAAAAAAAAAAAAAAAAAAGAAGAAAAAAAAAAAAAAAAGAAAAAGAAAAAAAAAAAAAAAGAAAAGGGACAACGAAAGAGTGGGAAGCGTGGACTTGCAATTCTCCCCACACCACCCGGCTTTTAACTCCCATCCTCATTTGTGTCTGCCCAGATGGACGGAGAGGTCCTGGACAAGCCACCGGCTGGCTGCCAGCCTGCTCTTGTGCAATGCTCTCGGTGCTCAGAAATTGTTTGGCAGCAGAACCAATTTCTAGTGGAAACTGTAGTTAATGCAGTTGTCAGTGCAGCTCCCAGGACACTCACCCTGCGGCCTGGTTTTCCTGCCGGACCGGGAGGACCCTGGATGCCTCGTGGACCCTGCAAGGCATCAAGGAGAGAGGAAGAAATGCCATCACCCAAAGGCACGACAGACGGACCCAGTGCCTGCTGGCATCGCAGATCAGGCACTGCTGGGGCTGTCAGGGCCACCAGGGCTACAGAATGGGACGTGAACCCCTCAAGCAGAGCCCGTGGTTCAAAATACACGGGAAAGGCTGAGGACTGAGCGTCTCTGGACAGGAATTGCACGTGTTTATCTGCGAGGAAGCTTTTGCCCTGCAAGCAGCTCCACGTGGTGGAGACAAATCACCTCCCCCACCATTAGAAAACAGGAACTTTCCCTTAATGCAGGATTTATGGCTTGGAAGAACAATTTCCTGAGTATTAGCGAACTCCCCACCCTCCAACCTATCTTGTATTTACAGGACTCCTCTGCGGATGGATGTCTTTGCAGGAAAGGACTACCACCTGCAGAATTCTACACTGTTGGCTTAAAATTATGTCTTGAGTCTGCATTTGGATACTTGAAGGGACATTTATATGCAAAACAGATGTTCCCACACCTTCCTACTTTCAGCTGGCATTGGCTTACTGAATCGCTCCTTCACAACAGCCTCTAAAGCAGGACTGGCTGCTCCACGCCTTCGTTTCCCCCAGATCTCCCCGGTCGCCCAATTTGCCCATACTCACCTGAGGTCCCATTTCTCCAGCTTCTCCCTTCAGTCCTCCACTGCCTGGGGGTCCCTTTGGACAGAGAACATGATTTATTACATTTTTCCTCAACAGAGCCAGAGGGTAGATTCATATCATGTTAAGAAAGAGCAATTCATGCAGGTAACCCTGAGCATCCACGGAGCCGGCGCCAGTGGAGTCTGCTCCGTCCTTGCTTGCCCGTTCACTTACCATGGGGCCCGGCCGCCCTGTCAGACCCATTGGACCTGCTGGTCCTCTCAGTGCCAGCTGCAACAGAAAGAGAAATGTTGCTCAGTTGGTGTCTCTGCTTCGTTGCTGCAACGGGACAAAGCCACCAGCCACACGTTCTCTCCACGCCCCGAGAACCACCATGAAATCCTTGGAGCAATGTCCGTATCCTCAGTGGATTTACCCAAGAACGTTCAACCTGCTGCCCCACCAACTTCTTTCTGCACCCACAAATGGGCAAAGCCCCCGGATGGTGCATGGGGCTGCTGAGAGGACATATGGACCTACACCCCGTCTCCCCCCGTACACCCACTCCGCACGTGAAGTACAAAACCCCTCTACAGATGCGTACGGACAGACCCTGGCCCGGACCCAGGGCACATGGAGGGGCGAGGAGTTGCCTGCATTTAAACCAGATGAGAATCTGCCTCTGCAGGTCAGATCCCATTTTCCATCATCACGTACAGGCACAATAAAATGGATGCTTTTGGCAACGAGTTATTGAAGGTAAATGTAAAAAATTTGCGTGGGCAGGCTATAGGGGTTTGTTCACATATATTTACAATCTCAGTTCAGTTTAAGAGAATTTTTTCTTTATGATCCTAGGAGTTCAATTTTGTAGGAATTTTGTCCTTTTTTTTTTTTTTTTTGGGTTACTATTTAATATCCTGCAAACAGAACGACAATTCTCTTTGCAACAGGGGGCTTTTAGCTCAATAATTAAGGAGTCACGTTACCATGCATCAAGTCAGTAATTTCCATGGTGGGTAATGGGGCTGGTCCACACTTTAAAACATCACTTGGACAATTTGTTCCCTCATGACAATTCAACACTTTTAAAGAGTTGTAATTATCTGTGTACTCCAGTAATTAAAATCTACCCGTGATTACACTTAGAATAGCATAAATATTGCACAAATGCTAGATTATGTGGCATCTTTTTACAACACCCCATTAAAAGGGAGATGCTCTGAAACACTGCCGGCTGGGACAATGTTCGGTGTCTATCAAAAGCCAAATTTTAAGGGAATAAATCAACCTAATAATGCAATTAACAACAACAATAACAAAAAAAACCCACCCAAACCACAAAAAAGGAAAGAAGATATCCTGCCCCTGTGGAATTCCTTTTCCATTCCTGCCATATCTTGTAACTTCCCCACAAAAAAAAAAAAAAAAAAAAAATTATTTTCCTTTCTGCTTTGGTATCAGGGTTTTCAGCTGAAATTGTCTGACCATAGGTTGAAGTTAACCAAGAAATAGATTTTTTTTCCTTTGTGGAAATATTCAACTTTTCATCCACAGCCCAAAAGTCACCCAGAATTTGTTTGTTTTTTAAGTTTTCCCCCAAACCTGAAAATTAAAAAAAAGAAAAGGGACTTTGAGTGAGGGGAGAGAGATTCTTTGTTTTTTCGTAACTGTCACAATTTTGAACAGGCAGAAAAAAAAAAAAAAAAGGAACAAAACCAGAGAGTCTGAGAAAGCAGATGCTTCTCATGAAACGTTCATTTGGTCAAAACCCCTATTTCCCAGCAAAATAAAATGCTGATGGAAAAACCGTAGGCAGCATTGAAATTAAGGCTGACAAGGTAACACCAGAAACATAATCCACCAATATTATTCTCAGAGCAAGGTTAATGGACAGGAAAATGCAATGCCTGTGGCATCAGTGCCCTATACTCTACCTGAATACGTATCAAATCAAACTCCTTTGTAAGAGGGGAGTTGGATGGAAACCAGAATAGCCCCAGCTAAGCCAAAACCCTTTATATAAACCTAAAGGGCGCACGTGCCACCCATCTGGGAGACCCCAATGGACATTATTTCATTCAAGGGTGAAAACAATTGCTTTTTAGCCTATTTCAGCAGACCAGCCCAAAAAGTCTGTGCTAAAGCGACTGCCAACAGCTCGGAGTAACAGACTGGCTACGTCTGAGCCACACATCCCAGCTGCAGACAGATGTGGGCTTCGGACCTGAGGAGCGCACCTAAGCTCTGCCCCTGGATGATTGCATTTGGCAGGGAGAGGAGCAGTGCCCCCAAAGCTGTGTCCTTTTGCAGACTGCCTCCCTAAACTCTCTTATATTTTCCCCTTTATTGCAAGGGTGTGCTTCCAGCCAGAATTTGGTCCCTCCCGGGCAAGATGGGGGCAAACGCAGCAGGAGGGCACGTGGGGTCCCCACGTGTTCCCTTCTGCTGTAATTGTGTCTCTTGCACCTCTGCTTTTAACACGTCAATGATCAAATGTAACTTCACACAAGTACTTGTGGAAAAAAAAAATTCAAAGCTGTACTGCCTAGGAATTAAGTTTTATTTTGAACAGATGAGTTTGAAGCCTTATATGCTAAGGTACTCATCTAGGCAGGGAACAGGAGTTGTACTGGGAACGTGCACGGCCGATCTTGTTTCACCAGTGAGCCTACATAATGAATGCTGCCAGGGACTATTTGATCATCAATCAATCTGAGGGAAAAGAGGTTGCATGGATAGTCGTTGTGTATTTCCAAATAAATACACTGAAGAAAATTGCAGTCTGCCTGTTGAGATTTGTGGAGCTAGGAACAGCTTACGTCTGTGACATACATTTAATTATTACAATTTACAGAAAAAAAACCACCCAAAAAAACAAAACCACCAACCAACCAACCAAAACCCCAAAACAAAAGAAAGAAAACCTCTACAGCACATACCACAACTGTTCATACAGACTTTCAAAACTGTCAGCATAAACAGCAAACACTACTGAAGCCAACAGATCTATGTCTACTAGTACCAGCAGAAGGCCTGGTCCAAGGTCTGTAGGCAATTCAAAACCACGTTTCTAGGGCCTGGCCTATTGCTGGCCATTAGTAGAAGGCCAAGTCATCCAGATACCATCACCTCAAGCCACACAAGCAACCCCATCTCAGATGAGAGGCTGTTACCACCACCACTACCATGGATGGTGCAAGTATGAAGACATCTCCTCCGATATGTTTATTCTGGTCCTCTGCTTCCTTGGGCACCTGCTGCAAGAGACATTCCCACCGCCCTTCACTTACCCTGGCCTGCTGCAGGATGGCTTGGGCTTGGGCCTCCTGGGCTGAAACGAGAGGTCCTTTAGAGCCAGCATCTCCTCCTCCACTAAAGCGGAACTGATGGGAACAAGATGTAGAAAGCAGGTCAACAGGGCTGCTGTCCCTCCACCCTCACGCTAGCCTGACTCCTAAACAACTCTGTTCAGCATGACTGACCCAACGCCATCACTGTCCTTCCAGACCATCCTGTTACCCATCGTGCTCTCAGGTCACCCAGCTCACAGGCACAAACCAACCATTTCCCATGTCTGTACCCACAGAGCAAACTCTGCCAGCTCAAAGTAACGCACAATAAGAGGGATCGTAGGCTCTGAACTGTAAGGACCTCACGTACCACCATTCTAAACGAAATGCAAAGTTCTCACAGGGCTCATATTCCCCATAGGGATGCTGTTGGCCAGGAGACCCCTGGAGATGGGGTTGCATCAGGTTATTTGGCTCTAGCTGCCTGTTTGCCCCGGGACAAAGGCTGCATTTCTCAAGTGTGGCAGTGCGCTTCAAAGAAGAGAGTGTGGCTTATTGTTCAAGCCAGGATCCTTCAACACACAAAGGATTTAAAAAACCCTAAGCATTAATGTTTTATTTTCCCAAACTTGAAAGGGAAGGAGTTTAATGTTTTCTTCTGCCTCTTCCACCCCCAACAGCTACAAGCCCACTTTCCAGGACACACACCCTTCTCCTGCCTTAATTGCATGTGTGTTTGGGGTTTTGCAAGAAGGACTCTCCAGGCTGCAGAACCTACTTGGACGGCACTTTCACCTCCATTTCACCTCTGCATTTCACTTGGTTGGCACTAGGTATACGACCACACGAACTTGGCAAGCATATTCAAAGAGATGCAATTTACGGGCCTATAGTTGGTTACTGTAGGGGCCAACAAATGTATTGTAATGGCCAGCTAAGCTCCATGTTGAGCACTTGGCCCCGGCTGTCCTAGGCACCCTGCCAGGAACCTACACAAGTATCACCCTACCATTTGGAGCCTGTACAAGAGCACTGTGGTTTTTCACTAAAAACTCACCACTTATTTTCAGCAGCTGGTTTCCTTAGGGTTTTCTCACATCAAAGCAGACACAAAATATAACCATTCCTTTAGCATCCCAGGACCAAGAAGGCTGACTCGGTATTTGCTAGCTTCACGTAGGAGGAAAAAAACCCAATGCAAATTAACCACTGGTCATCAAAAGAGACCAGTTCATTCAGGTGCTTATGATTTTGGCACCTACTTTGAAGAACTGTTAGAGGTTCCTCACTGTAGGAAGGAGGGTTCTGCCTGGAAATTGGCCCCTTGGAGGTGTCTTCAGTTGCTTCTTCATGACTTTCACTCTCCAGCACCATACCCAGTCAGAAACACTTAAGCTTATTCATCACTTCTGGAAATTTTAATGTACCTGCCCCATGCTTTTGACTAGTGAAGAAGTTAGTGCTTTGCAAAAAGTAAATTTACAAAGGGAACCATCTGGAGCCATCTTTTATACCAATGAAAATGTGTCCTTGGTATAAAAGAGATGAGAAACTTCTGCAAGAACAGGCACTAAGCAGTAGCAAAGCCAAGAAGCCTGACTCATTTAAATGCTTTTTCAGTTATGCTTGTACTTACAGGCAACATAAGCATTGTCCCCGGTGGTCCTGGTAAACCATCTGCTCCTGGAAGACCTGGGCGACCAGGTGGTCCCTACAAGAATAAATAAAAATAAACTTCTAAAGCGTCATTTTAGTCATGTCCATACACAAGTAGTCATTGCTGTAAAGGCACATGTCACAACCCAAAAGTCTCCCTATACTGACAGGCAGGCATTGAGCATGTAGGCATCCCAATGCTATAGCAAATTTTGCGGAAGCACATCTGTAAGTGTGCACAATTTTTCTTAGTAATTCCCTCTTCTTACATCCTGGCCTCCATATTTCCAGGGTCTGCCATATGCAATTTTCAAGCGAGCAATAGAAGTCCCCGCAATGTTCCAAGTTAATGGATGCAATGTTTAGTTGGGTCTGTTAAAACCTATTAAAAAAGTATATGAAACTTCATAACTCTGGTCAGTAAGACAGAAATGTAGAAAGATAACGACGTTTCCAGACATGTTCAGTCATCTGGGTCATTCCATTTTTCTCTCTTTTTTTTTTCAGTCCTATGAGGCTACTTCCATCTACAAGAGAGTGATCCTGTCAGCAGCTGTAAATCAGCAAAACTCTGACGGTCTCAATGGAGCTGGGCTGATTAACATCAGTTGAGTATCTTTAACTTGTACTAAAGAAACAAGTATGCAGTAAAAGATCTATCGATGAAGCTATAAACAATCAAATATGGCCAATTTTCTGAAGACAGCCCATAGATTATTTGCATTCCCAGCTGTGTCCTTAGCAAAAAGTTTAAGTTAACCCAAATTTGCACATCCATCCAGCAATCCTGCATGCAAACGAGGATAACATCCAACTACTCAATGTGCATGCCTAACTGCAATTTTCACACCAGTTTAAAGAGCTGGAGACAAGAGTGACTTGATCATGTCCCAGTGAGGCCAAGAGGAGCCCTGGTGCTCAAGTCATGGCAAGACAGCCAGCCTGGCCAACAGCTCAAGCTTGAGGACTTGGACGCTCCCCTACTTTGTAAACACCAATAATAAATCCATCTGTAGAGAACCAAAGCACTTGGAAGGGCAAGCAATAAACACCTATATTAGTTCTCACTTTCCTCAACCTGCCTGAAGCCCTCCAGCCTGCAGACACACAAAAAAAGCAAAAATAAAAGCTGCCACAAATCACGGATGTATATGGACACGCTACAGGGACACAGAAGAGCCAGACCTTGCCCCAGGAAGTTGCACACTCACCCCACAAGGCAAAGGGAGGTGGATAAAGGTGGGAAAGAAAGGAGGGAAACAGAAATAGGTAACAAAGTCCCTAAAAATCAGAACATTTAAAAAAAAAAAACAAACCTCAAAACAAACCACCAAACCAAAATGTTTGATGCATTATCCTTGCCCCACTGTCTTCCAGCAAGATCTTGGTGCGTCTCTTTTGCATCTCTCACATCTCTTTGCTCCCTCTTCTTCCATTCCCTCTATACCATGTTCAACTTCACATTTCCCTCGTTGACTCTCTTAAAAAGGAACCCAAAACATTCAAGCCAAAGTTTCAAGCGCTAAATTAGAGCCCAGCACCAGGGTGGGGGTGAAGAGCTGCTGCTACTCCGCCCTGCCCCAGCCCGCGCGTTGCTCCGGCCAGGCTCTGGCTGGACCTGCCCCACAATTACAGGGCAGAGCAGCGCTGCGGACGAGGAGCCGAGGTCTGCGCCACAACCGGCCTGGAATAACAACGCTGCTCCTGGTGCTGCAGCAGACAACACTGCAGCCAGTGATTTATCAGCCAAAAAAAAAAAAAACCCCAAACCACCAAACCCACCCCCAGCAGCTCCCTCAGCACTGAAGGGAGACTGCATAACACACCAGCCCATCCATTTTTCAAGACAAGCTCAGGATGTTACATTCATGCTGTTTACTTAGTCTGGCCGACACCAGAGTCCCTGACTCCACTGATGAGGTGCAGAGGGCAGTCCCATCTGTTGGAGCAGAAGCACAATAAATAATTTAGGCCAGACTCATTTTATATCATAAACTTTCTTCCCTCTCTCCCTTCTCCTTTAACTCCAGTCCTGCATATGATGGATCAGGAACGAGCTTGTTTATCTCTCTCTGTGTACTCTGCCTGACAAATTCTGATGCAATGTTTGTTATACATAAACACCTCTTTTTGTTTCAGGTTGGGTGTGTGAGGTCTTTTCCTTGTGCAGTGTGGGGCAATGGTATTGAAGAAAATCAAACCCATAAAGCACTTTGTAGGTTTAAATTCATGAATGCCTTTAAGAAATGCAGCATGCCAGACTCTTGGTTGGTGTAAATCTGTGTCACGCTCATTATGTAAATAGAGATTTGCTGATATATAGCAGCCAGGAATAGGGACTTCAACTTTCATTTGGTGCAGTGCTCTAAAATGCCATGCTGAGCGCAAACGCTAATGCAATATTTCAAGGGAATGTTTAAACTGAAACCTCGGTGTGTTAGTGCTTGGGCTCCTTGAGTAGCAGACAGTGACAGACAGAGCAGTGCCCAGCAGCCCACAGCACTGAGCCTCAAAATTTGCCTTAAGCCTTTCTCTCTCTAGGATTATTTTTCTGCCATTTTCACCCTGGTCAAAAAAATTAGGCAACAAAAGCTCTTTCTCGCAGTATTTGGGGTCTTCTAGGCAAGGCAGCGCTTGTCATCTGATGGAAAAAAAGGGCACCCTGAAAATGTCAAACCTTTCAGAACCCCCATAAGGATTTTAGGGATCTATTACACTTCTGAGATGCAAAACTGTCCTCAGGGGGAATAAGTCCTTTGGGATGCAACGCCCGTAGGGTCTTGGAAGATACAACTACCGCTTTGCGACCAGCCTTCCCCCAGAGGCTGATCAAGCCCAGAGCACCCAGGCACCCCAGATTTCCAAACACACAGCGCGGTCGGTGGCGGGGCTGTGGTTTGCTCTAATGCTGCAGCTCATTTAAAGGAGCACATTTTCCCATTTTCTTCATTCCAGTCCAGAGTACCCATGAAATAGCATGCATTTCATGCATGTTCCCGTCTCCTAAGTACCATATTTTCTTCTTCCCACTGCTCGAAGAAACCTGCCTAAATCATCCTAAACCGCCCTGCCCCCAGACGAGTCCTCTGAAACCTCCCACAAACAGGCTGCTCTGCAGCTTTGCCAGTGACGCAAATTCTTCTTTGCGTTGTAAAATAACTGGGATAAATGAACAAACTGACATGATGAATAAAACAGAGCTAAATGAGTGTTGGCCAATATTAACATAGCTGAATATTGTTGGTATATTAATTCCGTGCACCTGCCTGATTGCAAATAAAAAGTCTTTCTATCAGATGCAGGCATAGGAAGCATTCCTCACTGTACACATACAAGTATCATGTAAATTCATGAGCTATGCACAGGGTTAATAATAAACAAATTAAAAGAGGAGCAGCTCTAATTGAAAAGGAGTATTTTAATACAGTTGCAGTTCCCGGCTCTGCAAGTTCATCACTTCTTTATGCACAATATGTTGTATTACATTCTGTTCTGGACACTCAGAAAAGCAGGATGTGCCGTCTGTGCTAGAATGCAAATTATGCCTTTCATTTCAGGGTGTGGAGAAACATCATCGGGGAGAGTGTGTCTGCTGCTGATTGGCTTTGCACGGCCGTTCAAGAGGAGCCTGGCCAGCAAATGTCTGTATCTACCTGGACAAATGGCAGAAATATAGACTCCCTCGGCACCAGGGTCAGCATCCATCCTGTCAGGCAACTGAATTCTTTGGAGCAGAAGCAGCACATCAAGGGGAGAAGAGAAAGCTGGGCAACGTGTAGGAGGAGACATGCAGGATGAAGACCCACCAAGTGCCTGATGCTGCCGCACAGCTCTTTTGACTAATCCTAGACCACTGTAAGATGCAAAGACCTTGCCCAGCTTGCCTATCCTCTATGAAGTCTGACACCCAGGGATGCAGAGCCCTCCCTCGGTCCATCCTTCTGCCAGAGTAGTGCAGGAAGAACCAGGACTGCAGTGTCTCAAAGGGTTAAGCCAACCTCTCTGAGCAGTGGCCCTGGCTCCCGGCCATGGGCTGAGCCCGCAGCTGCGTATTGACTTTCTGAGCTTGCAGGCACCCGATCGATAGAGCACAGTCAGGGCCTCTCATTCTCAATCATGTCACAACCACAAGAAACATTATCACTGTTCCATCAAAAAACAATAAATACACCAGGAGTGTAAATGAGGTGGGGGTCTTTATAGCGATGTGCCGGGGGGATGCAGGAGTGCAGAAGCCAGTGGACTCCAGCCAAGTCCCTGGGGACCAACAAGGCAAAGAGCCTTTATTAAAAAAAACCCAACCAAACCAAACAAAAAACCTGGGGTCCAGGTTAGGGTCATTGCCACAAGAATGCCCCAACACCTGAGTCATCTCCTCAAGTACATCTTAAAACCACAGCAGACACTTCCCAGTGCAGGCCAGCAATGATTTTATTTCTCTGACTGTATTTTGCAACATGCATGTCATGAGGCTGGGAGGTGAATAATGAAGGTTTGGAGCCAGCTGGTTGCTTTGTCCTCCAGCAGGCAGGAAAGCTGGGAATGCAACCCCTCCTGCCCATTGCCCCCAGTGAAGGCAGCCAGGCCCGGGGAGATCCAAAATCCACCCCGATGGGATAGTAATTTGGAAGAGCACCAAACTGCAGAGGGGCAGTTTCCCATCTCTTGCTTACTGCTGACGAGCAGGTGGGATGGAGAACCACCTCGATGGGTGGGAGAGGAATGATGGCAAGGGCAGCGCTAGGGAAGGACAACAGCTCAAAGGTACGTAGGACAGAAAAGGGAACACAGCTGGATTTTAAAAGCTAAGGGGAGAAGGGAGGGGTAAACCCCAGTTTAAAAAAAGGCCTCTACAAGTTAAGGCACAGTGGCTCAGTCTCCATTAACCCATACAGAGAGCAGGGCCAGGAAGGACTTAGGGAAAAATATTCAGCCTTTCTGTCTAATTGGTGGTTTCATGTTTTGATACATCCCTTCCTGTCTCCTGGTGTATAACCATGCTTGGTCACTTCCAGGGGTGCCTCAGCTGGTGTTGCCATGCCGGGAACAAGAAGAAATGAAAACCAGAGGGTTTGATGCACGCCTGATGGCAACCGCAGAGGAAGCCACGGCAAACCGCTGGCATCGCTCCAGCCTTAAAAACAAGGCTAAGGTGGGATCCTTGGTAGCGCAGAGATCTTGTTCTGATCCTATGCAATGGAGTGAATTCTCCCTCCTATTCTTTCTAGGTCTTAGGTTACTCAAGACAAAAAAGTTAAAAAAAGAAACGGTAAGGCAGGCCACAAGACAAATCCTTAACAGCAGTTGTGCAGCAAATAGCTGTGCTAAGACACACAGAGCAGCGCAACACCCCTTATCTATCCAGACCTTCCCATTTGAACCCAGTTCATTGGCTTTTCCCACCTTGTCCAGGCAGAACTCAAGCAAAATCTGCCAGAATGGTAGGAAGCCCTACAAACACAGAGAGCCTGGGTCGCCCCATCTTATCCTTCCTGGGCACCCAGGAGGCAAATGGGATGCGGTTCCCCATCTGGAAACCAACTGTTGGATCAGTGGAGGATGCTGCAGTGCATGCAAGCCTGCCACGGGTAGCGGGCTGCCTTATCTGCCAGAAAAACGTGCTCAAGACCTCAGTGATCAGATTAGGGAAGCATTTGCTGGTAAGTGCTCCCTTCCTTGGAAAAGTGTTTTGCATTTGCTGGGTGACAGCACTGACGGCAGCGGGACATTGCATGTTTGGGTGCATCTCCTGTGATCTGTGTTGCTGCTGCTCTCCTCCCACCAGTGCTTTCCAGGAGAAACTCTGGAAGAACAGACCTCCAACCAAGCCTGCCTTCAGAAACCCACCTGTAGGCACATTTTTTGCCTTTTTTGCAAACAGAACTGTCAGGATGTCTCAGGCCACAACGAGCCATAGACGGAGACTAGCACTGGGGCTGCTGGGAGCTCTATTCCCCAGATAAAACAACAGTACACTAGCAGCTATTTTGAAAATATCTTTGACTGCACTCAACATCAAGATGCACCAAGGCACCGAAACGGTGTCAAGCTCTAAGCTCCATTTGTTTTGCTCATGCAAACCTGTGGAAATCAATGAATTTACTCATGTGAGATGACTGCTGCTGGTACACACATCCCCCTGTGCCGCTGCTGCACCAGCCTGTGGCCCCGGATGCCACTCCGCTGGGCTGCATCGAGACAGAAACTGCTCCTCTCCAGCCCAGCACAGCCCCGCTTTTGGTGCTCCATCACCCAAACCAGTACTGCTCAAGGGCACTGCGTGCACTTCTCTAGTTTCAGACCCAAACCAAGCTGCTCTGGCAGCCGAGGCTGGTTCCACCTCAGCCTCTGTGTAAAGCCAGACCCCATCTGTGCTATGGGGAATCTTCCACTAGATGTCAGGCCAAAATTCCTGCTGGGTGCAGGGCTGGGA